GAACCGGTCAACAAACCCACCGAGCAATGGTGGGAGATGGCGGTAGACGGGGCGTCCGGTCCTAAAGGCTACGGGGGTGGTATAGTCTTTACCACCCCGGAAGGATTCAAAATTTACCATGCAATCATCTTCAACTTCAAGCTGACGAACAACGAGGCAGAATACGAAGCTCTGGCTGGAGGGCTCAGACTCGCCCAAGCCCTGAAGATCGACCGGGTCAGTATCAAATCTGATTCCAGTTTGATCGTCGGGCAAGTGACCGGTAACATGGAAGCTAGAGAAGGTCGAATGGCGCAGTACAAGGACCTAATACTTGCCTTGTTGAAAGGCTTTAAGGAATTCAAGATCGCCCAAATCCCCCGGGCGGAAAATGCAGATGCAGACCTTCTCTCCAAATTGACGCAGTATGCTCCCGAGCATGTTTCAAAACTTGCCCGGGTAGAAATTCTTGATCAAGCCAGCATTGAAAAATTGGAAGTAGCCGCCATAACAGGGGAAAGCCAGTCTGACCGGTCAAACTTGGTCGGGGCGGATGACAACTGGATGTATGATCTGATGGAATACTTGATGGATGGGACCTTACCGGAACAAGATGACCGGGCAAGAAAAGTTAAGCTCAGGGCACCCCGGTTCCAAGTCCTTGACGGAAAGCTGTACAAGAGGGCATTCGGGGGACCCCTACTGAGGGGCCTAACCAACCGGGAGGCTGAACGAGTCATAGCAGAAGTCCATGAAGGTGTATGCGCAGCACACCAAATGTCCCGCACCCTTTCACAGCGAATCATCTTGTTGGGGTATTACTGGCCAACAATTGTCCAAAACTGTGAGAGGTACGTTCAGAAGTGCAGAACCTGCCAGGTGTTCTATAAGTACCCCGGTAGGCCGGCGACCTACTATCACCCCGTAACAAATGTCATCCCATTCGCCAGATTTGGGGTTGATATCATCAAAGCGTTCCCAATTGCCCAAGGGGGGAAGAAATTTGTAATCGTGGCCATCGATTACTTCACCAAGTGGATTGAAGCCGAAGCCTTGGCCAATATCACCACGCAGCAATGCAAGAAGTTCATTTGGAAGAACATCATCACCAGGTTTGGGGCTCCCATGAACCTAATTACCGACAACGGCCCACAATTCCGAAATCCAAGATTCACCGAATACTTGGAGGGCTTCGGAATCAAGCACAATCGCTCCTCGGTGGCGTACCCCCAAGGAAATGGCCAGGTTGAAAACGCCAACCGAACGATTGTGGATGGCCTAAAGAAACGGTTGGGAGAAGCGGGAAACAAGTGGCTGGAAGAGCTCCCACATATCATCTGGGCGTTCCGAGTAACACCCAGGAGGGCTCATGGGGAAACTCCATTCTCCCTAACCTATGGGTGTGAGGCAAGGCTGCCCATCGAAGCCGAATTCCCAA